ATTATGTCAAGGCAATATGAATAACATATTTTCATTTATGGACGGAATATTCATATAAGGTAACTTACATGCATTATATACAAGGACCAGGATTGTTCAAATATTTTATAAAAATGAATTTATTGAAAAAAAAAACAATATGTTAAATAATAAATAAATAAATAATTTAAAAATAAGTTTTAAAATTATTATCACACAAATGATTTTAAAACAGAAAATATTTATTCTGTTTTTAGGAATGTATTAAGGCAGATTTGATTGACAGATGAACTTACATGCATAAATATCTTTGAAACAACAACACAAAAAGAGTTCTTGTTAATTATGTTTATCAAAATTTACAGTTTTCCAATTTTGATTAAAAAGCATAAGCTTATCAGTAGGAAATATTTACAGTGAATGAGATGCAAGATGAAAGATATGATGAAAATTTTAACATTTGTATCTGAAATGATTCTTAAAATTTATGGCATTATTCTTTATTTCCAATTCAAAATGAGCAAATGATTAATATTATGAAATACTAATAGTTAGTTATGGATTTGACTCTTCACAGCTTGATACTGCAAATTTGATTTCTCTAAGTCTCTCTCTTTTTAGATGAAAAAAGAAAAACCTAATAATATATATAAAAAATGTACATCAAATTAAAAATAAGTATACATTAAAAGGTAAAAGAAATCAGCTTTTCCCCTAATTTGATGCAAAATGTGTACAAAATACACTAAAACTGCTTTTGAAGAAATTTGCTGATAAAAATCATCCTATATCAGATGCAAAATTCTAAACATTTAGTAGTAATTTGATGTTAAACCTCAGTTTTGTGTCAGGATTTAGAGCAACATCAGCAGTAATCTAACAATTCTAATAGAAATTTGGAATAACTGTGCAACATTCACAATACAGTGGAAGCTCTGAATACCAGCACCTCTATATATAAGAACTTCGAGATATGAGGAAAGCATGAGCGAAAAATTTGTCTCTAAACATGGGCATTGACTTGAGTAACGAGCAATGAGCCAGGCTGTTGGTATGCGTGGCGCATTTCCAGGTCCGGCTCGACTCGGGAATCCCCTCCTCAGATCAGTCAATAGTGTTCGTGCACTCGTAAGTTAATTTTTTTTTTTTTTTTTTTACATTTAATGTTAAAATAATTATTTCACAATGATTTCCAAGAAAAAAAGAAGGAAAATAAGGAAGCCATGGCCACTGAAATTAAGAAAGAAATTATAGTTAAACATAAATGTGGTTTAAGAGTGATGGAATTGGTGAACTTACGGCCATTCGACATCGACGATCTGCACTATTCTGAAGAAATTAAAAAACTTGATGCGGCCAAAGGAGTTACCGTTACATCCAAACACCATCCAAAACTCCTAGAAGATGTTGAGAAGTTGTTGTTGTTGGGGATTAACGAGAAGCAGTTAAAAGGCGATTTGTTGTCAGAAGCTATCATTTGTACTAATGCTTGCCATTGCAAGAGCCTTGAGAAATGTTTCAACTGAAGTTGCCTGCGTCCTTGTGGGTGTTCTGCCCCTCTTGATTTTATACAAATTATACTACAAAAAGTTTCACTTAGCTAATAAAATTATTATAGATACTGAAATTAGACAAAAAGTGCTCACGAGTAAGGTCTTTCAACAAGAGAATGAGGCTATTATTCACCCAATGACACGATTTGGATTATTTTATGATCTCGATTTTCCTTCTGGTGGCGAAATAGACGTTTTTACAGATGGTTCTGGAATTGATGAGGGAGTGGGTAGCGTTGTGATAATTTATTTTTATGGAGTGGAGATAGACAATGTGAGAATAAAACTTAAACCAATGAATTCAGTTTATCAAGCAGAACTATCCACATTGACAGAGGCTTTGGATTGGATTAATAAAAAATTAACAGTTCGATGTTTTATAAATATTTATACTGATGCCCTATCTGCGCTACAGGCACTTGCCCAACCAGATCATAAAAATAGACTGATTAATGAAATAAAAGACTTGTTTAAAAAGGCTGAAAGAAAACATATTGTTAAATTAGATTGGGTGAAAGCATGCAGTGGAATTGCTGGAAATGAAAGGGCGGACACTCTTGCTAAAATGGCCGCACTTAAAGATGGGACCAATAATTTTGATATCTAAGATTCAAGAAATAAGACCATAGAAATGGAAAGCTGGATTTATACAGAATGGAATTTTTGCTGGCAGTCGTCTAATAAAAAAAAAAGAGTTAATGAAAAATATCAAGTTAAACAAGAAGATGAATAGTATTATAAATAATATTGATATAAATCAGGTGCTGACTAATCATGGGTGTTTCCTGGCTTATTTTAATCGGTTCCATCTACAGAATAATAATAAATGCTTATTATGTGACAAGTTTGGGGATGCCAGGCACTTCGTCAATGAATGTATGCTTAACCAGAGTGCAAAAGAGAAATATAAAAAGAATTTTAAGGAAGATTTTAAAAGGAACTCTTCAAATTTGAAAGGATTTTATATATATATATATTTGATTTTGGACTTTATATGTTTTTTCTTATATTTGTTTTTTTCTGTCCAGTCGCATTTTTTGATCATATGGTTCGGCTTGTGCTGGCTAGGAGGATCGGGGCTGTGTCCTTATAATGATAATTTGTGCTAAGGCTAAGGATCTGTACTTGGACCTTCTCCGAAGAACACCAGGTACGTCGACTGACGATGAGATGGCAATGAGATTTTTGGGGATGCGGAACAGATTAACTGGTTTTCCATTATTTTCAATGAGGAAGTTTGTTTCTAGATACCAGAAATTCGCTATACGAACTCAATGCTGGAACAAGTTAAATTCGTATCTTGAGGTTCCACTGTATTATACATTGAATAATCTATAACACAACAGAATATCAACTTTTATTAATAGTAAAATTCAACTTTCTTTGGACATTAAATTAAAAAAAAGAGGGGGGAGGAAGAAAATTGATTGGATTCATTAATTTAAACTGGAAAAAAATGGAGGAAAAACGCAGAAAACTAAGAGATTAGATTCATTTTAAGAAAACATCTGATGCCCTTCACTAATAGAAAATTCTAGACAAATACATTTAGAAATCTAATCCATTAGCTGATATTATTGCATGATAACATGATTACCACTGACGGCTTCATCCTCAAATTATTCACATCCAGATGAAGTCCGTTATAATTATTTTATATCATTTTTTCTTTAAATTGTTATATAATGCCACATATCGCTCTACTTTCCACATTTCATCAAAATATAAAAAGGAGTATCTTCTAAACATGGATGGTAAAGCTGTATCTTTTGTTCATTTTTATCAAAGCCATACTGGCAGGGATTAGTTCTTTGGCAGTCTCAGCACCTCGGGATAAAAATAACGAGCCTGGCAGTTTCAAATGGCCTGTGGGGAAAGGGCATTATTCAACTTTCCCCATTTACAACCAACTAATCAAGTTGGTTGTAAGTCCCCAATTTGGTAGTATCAATAGCGGTTTAGCATCGAATGGCCATTACATCCATATTCTGGAACAAATCCCCACTCCAGGGTAACTTGTGTAGTACTCGGAGGTAGAAATTTTCCCAGTCAAATTTTCAGAACCAGTCAAATTTTCAGAAGAATAAAGATGCACCCCGTTGTAGTCTCCAGGAGCCGAGACTGATGATTCTCCAAGCCTGGTTCAGTGGTTGGGCATAGAAGAACTTCCTGAAAGTCCGTAATGATTGAGTGTGGAACCCAGATACATGGCAAAAGGAATTTGTATCATCACAAAAGTGGCTTTCTGTATGGACTACCACTCCTTGATAAATATAGGGGCTTCTCAGTTGGGACTCCAGTCCACGTAGTTGTATCTTGTTGCAGGAATATGTAAATATATTAATTGATTATCAAATCCATAATCTGTCTTATTTTTCATAATGTGATCACCAAAATCAGAACATTAAAATGAAATTAGAAAAAGCAAATTACATCAGCCACATGCAACAACATCTAGATAGCATGATGCCAATAAGTTTAATTAGTCTTAATTTCATCCTAGACACCTGTTTGGATCTTTTTTACGAGTGCTTTCCTTTATTCTCACAGTAGCTTACATATTTTTCAGATGTTTATGATCCATCTTGCATAATTATTCTGGATGTGTTCATAAGCAATGCACTAATCTTATATAATCGCACTAATAACAAAGAATATGATAGAAATAGCGAAAGATGTAGTAAAGTAGCAAAAATAAACATAAACGAACTCACTGAATGTTTAGAAATACTTTTAACAAAAAATTTAAAAATTAAAAAAAATCTGATGGCCAAAGATTTAAAAAAGGTGAAGCTATATCTAGAATGTCAATTAACACTATTCATGACATTAAATGAAAGAGAATATTGCTCTTAGTATTGAATGTAAAATGTGCTGTAGCAATGGCCCAACTTGGAAAATTTTCAAGTATTTTATGTTGATTACTGAAATATCAAAACAGACCCTAGTGCGTGACACATGTGCTTTATCATATTTTTGCTTCAATTTAATCAGAAATTTCAGAAACCTAGCCTGACATAAACCAAACCATTCTGCACAATAAATAAAATATCAGCATTCTGTGTAATTCGGTTTCTCCCTGCTCAGTTCACAATACACCACTTACTTTAAACAAAATGAATTTATGGAGTTTTTCCCCTCCTTAAAATAAAAATAAATACTTAGATTTGAATTAATTAAAAATTTTTAATACAGATATTTGATTTAATGTTTAACACAGACAACTATTTTTACAAACTGAATTTTCCTTACTTGTGAATATATGTCATTTCATAGCTAGTATCTAGTGTGTTCTTTTATCTTTTGCCACTTCCTTTTTCACATAATAGCATGAACACTGGCTAGTTTTTAAAATATTCAATACTTCACAAATTAATTTTTTAACCGGATCATGTACTTTAAAGGACATTTTAAAAATAAACATTCTTATTAACAATACTGCATTTTAAAAGAAGCAAATGAACAAACTTGTGTTTGGTACAAATTTAATTGTATCAGTTTCAAGAGTGAACAGATACAGGTCCCTCTTTGCCAGAAGCAAAAGAATTCTCTTCTCTCTGAATATTGCAATTTATCTTAAAATAAAAATATACACAGTTTTGCATAAAAATACTAATATCTGATGACTAGAATTTAAAAATAGGATAAGTATTTCTTGCATTGCCATCAATAAAAATTGTGCTGTGTAATAACAGTTTCATACAGCATATACACAGGAAAATACACAAAACACAGATATTTAAGCATAATTTTGGAGGTTGATGGATGCATCATAAATTTCAATATTTTTAAAAGGATATGGCACTGTTCAAAGATATAAAGAATAAAAATTTGAAATATAATGACATGACTAGCAATATTTGATCTCTCACCTAAAGTTAAAACACTTCAGGAAATTTGTATATGATTTGATGAAATGGAAACTGATTCAAATAAATAACACCTTCATAAAAGATATGCATAAATAATTAGATGAAAACTTGCAAACCGATAATCAAATAATATTTTAAAACATGCAGAGAAAATGTCTGTTAATCAATAAATACTAAGAAATAATACATTTCTTTTCTGTTCTGTATCCTTTACTTGCTACATTTAACTCCAAAATAAGTCAGCTTCAAGTAATCATACAAAAAGATCATTATAAAAAACTTTCAATGCATGGCTCTTCATATGAAAAAAATTATGAAATTATTTATGCCAGTGTTTATTTACATTATTACTAAAAGTTTTCTCTTTAAAATTTTATGCACATTAAACAGATAATATAATATACATCACAATAGGACATATTTTTGAAAATTTTTAGTAATTATTCATTAAAGAAATTGTTTTTTTTTAATACGACTAAGATATTATAGTTTAATATGATGAATAATGCGATATGTTCATGATTCTGAAAAACTACTAGTTACACTACAACTTTATAATTCAGCAATTCTCAACCTTTTTCAGTCAGTAATTCAAGATATCATAACACAATATTCTGGACTTCAAATTATTACTTTTCCTATTCTATAACTTGTCTAATGAGAGTTCTAGCTGAGACATTCGAGAATGCTTCTTAATATTCTTACAACTTAGAAACCCACATATAAATCATCCTAAAAATGCATTAGTCTTAGATTTTCAGCTCACCATAAAAAATATTGATTTGCACAAATACGATTCTAAAAATGAGAGCAAAATTTTAAAACATATAATTTAAAATATGTCTTTAATTTCAAAACTTCTATGATGCACTTTATAGGGCATCAAAATATACTGGTTGAGAAACACTATGCCCCATTTTTTACATAAAAACAAAATGTTTTCTAAATTTATACATGAATATTTGCAAAAAAATAAGGTGCGAAATATATTTCATAGCCTTTTGTTATTGGACAGTTTATCTTCATTAGCTTAATTAAATACTATAAAAATTGCCATCTAATCTAGTCACAAATTCCAGTGGTTTCAATTTCACACAAGTAGATAGAGAAACATATGGGAGAAAAGTGTGCAACAATGCTAATGATCGTTTACATTGCAATAATGCAAGAAATAGATCTAAATTTCTTTAAAATATTATAGAAATATATATATATATTAAATTCACATCAAAAGGCTAAAAAACATTTGTATAAAAAATATTGATGTAATTTTTCTTCCAGTTTTGCCCAAAATTTTAAAACAAAGTTATATTATTAACTTAAAGAATCGGAATGTATAATTAACTCCTTACATCATTATCCCATTTTAAGTCATAAATTAGACAAATATTTTTCTAAATGATAAATTTAGATTATTATTAAAAATAAGAAATCCAGATTTGCAGCTAACACAATATTCTGGACTTCAAATTATTACTTTTCCTATCCTATAACTTGTCTAATGAGAGCTCTAGCTGAGACATTCGAGAATGCTTCTTAATATTCTTACAACTTGGAAACCCACATATAATCATCCAGTTACAAATTTTAAAGTAATTATAACTTTTAAAGAATTCCATTTTTGTAATCTGACATCAAATAAAATGAATTCATTCATGAACTATTTAAAATAAAATAGATCATTTAATTTTTTTTAATATATTACTTTTTAAAATTTTGTGCAAAGAAAATCTTTAGATGTCCTAACACATATGGCAGCAGAAAAGTTTTATGATAAAGCAACATAACAGTTTAGAAATGAAGACAAATTTCCAAGGTATCTAATTAAAAGAAATGCATCTTTTCTGTGGAGAACGGTTTACACTAAAATAAAGTATTTTATTACAGTGAAGAAACAGAACTGTGAGAAGTAGAAAAGAGTAGATAAATTTCACCATCGTCTCTCTTTGAGAGCCTGAAGTGCAGTAACTGTAATTGTCCCATAAGTTAAATCTTGACTATAATTCTGAAGAGCTGCTTTTGCAGAGCTGCAAACGGAATGATTAGCAAGATTACCAAACTGACGTCGGCCAAATTTTTTTTCAGATATTTTTCCTTCAGGTACTTCATCTGAAGTTGGAGCCTTTAAAAGAAATAATTAAAGTTATTTAAAATGAAATAATCTTAGAAGATATGAGCAAAATAAAATTTTACTTTGTAACTGCATCTAATCTCCTTTTTATTAAATTGGTCATTTTCACTTTTCTATTAACAAACTAGTAAAGTGCTTATAATAAACCTTTCTTTCTGAGGAGCTCCATTCCAAAATTAATGGATATCATACAATTCTTAGGTAATGCTGGTGATATATAAAAGATTATGTTAACTAATTGTAATTTAGCAATACACCTATGTCTATCTATTGAGAAATAAAACAGCTTCATTATTTTTACATAACATGAACAGTTAACTGAATCTTCCTTTTCTAACATTTGCTTTCACTTAATCAACATACCACCTGAAATCTCTTTTTATTGCTGCAAATACATTAAACTATTCTATTTTTAATATTCTAATATTAAAACTATTATTAATTATTGTATTTCTAATAATGGTATTAGAAATAGAAATAAAATTAGATGTTACAAATTTACACATGAATATAATGCAATAGCTAATTTTTTCCACAGTATTTTACTTTTTGCCAGTATGTGCCAGTATGATTTAGTGTAAGCTTTGGGACTCTCCCCATATATTTGATATAATGAGATTTCTCATAAAATTTTATCCAGCATTAATTTTTAAAAGTATTCATTTATGTGTAAAAGCAGCTATTTTCAGCAATATGTACCACCAAACTCTCATTAACCAGTTAGACTTGAACTTTAAAAACTCAGTATGGGGGAAAAATAAAAATTTTTACCAGACATACTTTTTTTTTTTAGTTGACAAATCAATAGCTAGCAGAATTTGTTCAGATGTTTGGAAAGACTGTCATATTTTTAATGACAGGCCTCCTTGTAATAGACAGGAGTGTTGAACAACCCTGCTCTTACCATTTCTCTAGAACATCATGCACATGTCAGAATACAAGAAATACTCCCTACTTAAACATACAAAATAATTTTAAATATCTTTCAAAATGGTTATTACATAAAATGACATATCATTTTTACCACTGCATTACTGCTTTGTCCTCGAAGAACAACTGGATGTCGGAAGCCTAAGCTAAATTTTCCACGCTCTGACAGAAAAGGTGGTGTCAAAGTCTTCCTAGCCATTGGAGCCATTGGTTGCTTTTTAGCTATCTGACTTCTCAAAAGAGCTTCTTTTCTCTCCTAAAATAATGCATTAACATGTTTAAAATAAAATTTTTAAAATACTGATAATTCATAATTCACAGAAATATTTTACTCTGAGTAATATATGAGATAGATAAAGTTTTGCAAAGATAATAGCACTTACATCAATTGTAGGAATATCTTCAAACGTACGCTGCTTAATAATTATTCTCTTCTCATTCCTTTTCTCTACAAAAGTAATTTCATTTTAATTCATACTTTCAATTAAAACTATAATTATAAATCTGACAAAAAATGCAATATATTCATTACCTGCAAATGAAGTCATTTGTATTGGGGGTATAGGTGACATTTCTCTTCTTTCAGCTTTTTCACTAATCATCTATATTGAATAAGTACATTTCACAATTATTTGCATAAAAATTTAATGTGATTTATAGAATAAAAATATAATATTTTAAAAGCAATTTTTAAAAAAAAAATCTTTATGAATAATTACAAAATAAAAAAAGCACTTCATCGTCATTAGCATTTTTTAGGAATTAAAAATTGCTTTGGTTTGGTTTATTAATTATGGCAAAGCACACTAGAGCTATCTGTCTAAGAGAAGGGATGCCTTCGTGGAGGACTTTTTAAGGGAAACTGGCTCGTATATATGTTACACATGGGGAAAACACAAAACGCCCATGCAACCAGCCCGTTCGCGGGATTCGAACCTCGGACCGAACTACCAGTGTTCAGTGACTTTATCGCTCAGCCGCTGGTGGGCTAGGAATTAAAAAAAGCTGCTATAAGTTACATTTAATAAAATTTCTAGAGATAAATAATACATGATGCTAAATACATCTTTTGTTATTTATATTGACGATATAAATAGTACAAAACTACATATAAAGTTCCCATGTGAGGGGTAACACAGATAAGCAATGTACTACAGTCAAAAGTCGTTAATTCGGACACCCATAATCCGGACCTCGAAGCTTAAATCTTTCTGCGCATGCACCGCGTTGACGCATGCGCATAGGCGTTTTACGCGTGCGCGCAAGACATTTACGACTGTGCATATGCGTCTGCGCAAGTGCAGAATATGTTTTCACGTGCACGTTTAATGTTTAACGGACAGTATAAGCTATAATTATCTAATTATCTATTTCAGTTAATGTTGATGATTGCGTTGTTCCTTAATCTTCGAATTGGATCCGGCTTATTATTTTTTGCAGACTGAAGAGCAATTTTATAAAAGTAAGCTTGAACTTTCGATTATGTCAAATAGAATTTCCGATGCTAGAGCTCCCAAAGGATCTAGAAAACGAAAGTATGTTTCGATGTCCATCAAACAAAAAATGAATTGCTACAAAAAATGGATAAAGGCATATCCTTTGTTTATCTAACCGTTCGGAAATCTGTTTATCAATTTCATGTTGGCTGCTCTGCGGGGGGGGGGGGGGGGGCATCGCGGCACGCAATGAACTGGAAGTTGTTCTGTCAGCACTATTGTTATCTTCAGGGCAGATGTTTTTATTTTATTCGGCTTATAATGCCTTACTAAATGTAGTATTTAATCTCGATGTACTCCGTCTTTGATATGATTTAAATCAAATTCCTCGTCATTATAAATATCATGAATACAAATCAAATAGTTTTCTGGTTGCAATTTTCTAATTTCGGCTATGCATAAGGTATGCTTTACGCATGAACGCGTTGAAAGAAATGTTTAATAAAGTAAACAAATAAATATTAAGCTTCTTTTTTTGTAAATTTTGATACCCTTTAGATCATAATTGCTCATTATTTTATAAATTACGGTTTCATATTTTTAATTTTATAATTTCTGCATGCCATCTTACCAGATTTAAACTGATGATCTATAATCCGGAAAAATCGATAATCCGGAATCGCCGAAGTCCCGACGAGTCCGGATTAAAGACTTTTGACTGTATTAAAGCCTGAAAGATATTTCAAAGATCTTCAGCAAAAACTATAAAATTTGGCAATTTGCTAAGCTGTTTAAATATGTAAGGCAAAGAAAGAAAACAGCAATTCAGTAATAAAACACGTGAAAAATGTAAAATTATACTAGTCCCCCCCCCACACTTTTTTCATTTTACTTCATTCATTTCATTTTCACATACCTTCCTTTAAAATCTCTGGAATTTTTAATATAATACATTTTAGTTCTATAACTCATACATGACATAACATACATGTTTCAAAAATAAAATTTCATATCGCATTGGAGGGGAAGGCATTAGTATTATAAACTAGGTAAACTAACTAAACATTTGATTTGTGAGAAAAGAGATTATGTCGAATTTCTGAAACATTGTATTGAAAAATATATTAATGGGTAAAAGGCATTCTAGCCTGAGCAAAATGAAATATTCAGAAATTTGTGTTATTTGATATATACTGTGTAACAATTACAAATTTTTTAATGAGGATATTTTTTATATATTTTATATGCATATTATTTACATAATACACTAAATCTATTAAAATTTTAACACAAATTAACAACAAACAAATCACATCCTGTACCAGTTACTACAAAATTCTAAATTTATCAATGACGACTATAAACCTAACTTAATAGCCCATTATTTTTTCTATAGATCAAACCTGTACCTTTTTAATGACTGAAATATAAAAAATACTAGAATGATTAATAATATTTTATCATATTTCTTCCCAAACTCTTTATTAATAGTTTCCAGTTCATGACCACGTGATAGCAAATTTCATTTTTTAACTGCAAACTTATTCTCAATTTTTTTTTCAATGTATCTTCAAAATGAGATTTAAAAACTATTCTTAATCAAGGAATGCTTAAGAAGAAGTAATTATGAAAATATTACAAAATAAATTATATATGAATTCATGAGATTCTGTAATGAATCATTTCATCACTGAGGAAAGGTATAAATAAATTTTAAAAAATCTATAAAAATACCTGAAATAAAAATTCTAAATAGAATTTTGAAACATTGCTTTGACATGCACATGGAAGTGAAACTGAAAAATTATGCTAACTAATTTTATTTTGATTGATATGATACGATAAACAGGAGAGAGTTGCAGCAACTACTTTTAATGCAACTTAATGAATGGAAGCTATTTTGAATTTTTAGTAATTATCCACATTTTCATTATTTGGAAATAATTTTGATATAAAAAGATTTAATGCATTTAAAAAGCATCTTCCTCAGAAGATATTTTGTAAATGCACTGTATAATTGAAAAATATCTAAATAATAATTGTTTGATTTACATTTTCTGCTTTAACATTTTTCATAATTAATTAATCTACAAACCTTGTATTTTCTAACCATGCTCAGAGCAGAATAATTAAAAAATTGTGAATTCTTCCACAGTTACAATTGGAAAACTTCTTCCACATAGTGACAATTGAAACTTCAAATTAGCAATACCTTAAGTTTTACTTTCAAATGTAAGTTTTAAAAAATAACCATATTTGTTTGATTCACATTTGAAAGATGACTGATCTGAAATTTTTTTAAATATTACTAAGATTTAAATAAATTACAAGTTTTTTTTTTCATACCACACATACTCAAGAAAAGCTCTCAATAAAAGAAAATTAATAGGACAGTCTTCAAAGATTTTTCTTTATAGTTTGATTCTCCTTCACTTTTTCCTCAATAAATGACATTAGCATAGGGTTTATTTTTCTTTCAGTGTGTACTAGCAATCCCGTTTGCACTTTAGAAAACCATCTCTTTTAAATATATGGCTGTTTCCTTATTTTTTTATCATTGCCTAAAGAAATGAGGATGATGTGAGAATAATTTGAGTCGTAAAAATATCACTTGGCTTATTGATTACATCACAAACGTGCTAATTTATACATTTTTAATAACAATGTAAAACTTATAAAAATAAATAAATGTTTCAAGTAGTTTCATGTTCACCTTTAACTTTTTAAAAATGAAAACAAATTACAATGAATATATTACAACAAATAATCTTGTTTTATATAGCAGATAAACTACTTGCACATATAAAAATAAACTGCATTTCATTATTATTTGGCTTTAACTGAGAATACTTCAATATATTTTAAGCTGAAAACTATAATAATTAATAATTACATTGTGTTTACCTACCTCATATAACTTATCTCTGTAATGGTCCACAGAGAGTTTTGTGTCATCACATAACGGAGGAACAGCTTTATCAAGCTGAGAGGGTATTTCCTGACCATGATACCTGAAAATTATATCATTAGGAAAAAACAAAAGAAATATAAATTATTAAAAAAATAATGATCAGATAACAACAAACTGTACAGCATCAACTCTTTTTTTTTTTGAATAAAGCATGAAAACTGCAGGTCTTTTTGCATTGTTAATTGATCATTTTTGCATTAAGCTTTGTTACACATTGTTATCTAATTCATTGATTCAGTTATTAATACTTATGTATATATTTGTTTCTATTTTTATGATTTTGGGGAAAGTTTTTAACAAATTAGTATTTCCACAAAATTTATATGAAATTAATACAGTCAAAAGTCTTTAATTCGAATACCCATAATCCGGACCTCAAAGCTAAAAACTTTCTGCGCATGTGCCGCGTTTACACATGCGCATAGGCGTTTGCGCGTGCGCGTAAGACCTTTACGATTGTGCATATGGCTGTGCGCAAGCGCAGAATACGTTTTCGCGTGCGCGTTTAATGTATAACGGACGGTATAAGCTAAAATTATCTAATTATCTATTTCAGTTAATGTTAATGATTGCGTTGTTCCTTGATCTTCGAATTGGATCCCGCTTATTATTTTTTGCAGACTGTAAGAGCAATTTTATAAAAGTAAACTTGAACTTTCGATTATGTCAAATAGAATTTCCGATGCTGGAGCTCCCAAAGGATCTACAAAACAAAAGTATGTTTCGATGTCCATCAAACAAAAAGTGAAATTGCTGCAAAAAATGGATAAGACATGAAGAAGGTGACAGAGAGGTTAGTGAAAATGAAAAAATTTGGATTGACAAGTTAGTCGGTATTCTCACAGCAATTACGGGACTTGAACAGCAGAACTTTGTAACTGAACAAGAAATTATATCTGTTTATAGAATTAAAGAGAAAGTATTATCACATAAAATGAAGCAACTTAAACAACTTACATTGAAAGAAATGTTTAATAAAGTAAACAAATAAATATTAAGCTTTTTTTTGTAAATTTTGATACCCTTTAGATCATAATTGTTCTTTATTTCATAAATTACGGTTTCATATTTTTAATTTTAGAATTTCTGCATGCCATCTTACCAGATTTAAACTGATGATCTATAATCCGGAAAAATTGATAATCCGGAATCGCCGAAGTCCTGACGAGTCCGGATTAACGACTTTTGACTGTACAATAAAAAATTCAGTTTGCTCCTCTCTCCTTTAATACCATTCCATGTGACTGTAGTATAAATATCGACTATTAACTATCACCTATATCAGTTTGCAATTATTCAGCATATTTTATAATGTATCACATTTCTTTTCAACTTCCTGATCACGAAAAGAAATGCAATAAAATTCTTTTAAAATATGCCTTTCTTAAAACAAATTTAAAATTTAACATAATCAAGCCTATTAAAAATGCAAATGGAATTAAAAACTTTAAACAAAAACAAATTATACTTCAAAGCAAATAGCCTCATCCAGCTTAAGAACAATAATTTTTATGCATTTTATTATGCATTTTTTTAAGCAAATAGTTCACTTGCATAAAGAAATAAATTTGTGCAATGTTCTGATTTAGATTTTCACAACATGTCATACCAAAGCAATCACGTTGAAGCTTTCTAAAATGCTCCCTTTCCCATTATTATCACAACATACTGTGAATTTTGCTCTTCTAAACACAACAACATCTTGTAAAGCATAAAATTTAACAATCTTAGAACAATCTAATCTGGAATTGCTGAAGTCCCGACAAGTTTGGATTAAAGACTTTGTACTGTATTAGAATTTATAAAAGCATAAAATTCCAAACATCTAGAATACGGCTGGCCAAACTTCATAATGATACATTTTAGATACATATCTGAATCAAAATTTACAAATCATGGACTCTGATGTAGTTTGGAACATTTAATATATTGTACATATCCATGTTCTACATTGTACGCCGATGTTGCTGCCATTTTTTTGGAATTTACTGTATTTTTGGAAGTCTAGTATTTTTGGAAGTCTATAAGGAAACTGATTTCGTGAACTAATATTAACTAATAATTCCAAAAAGCTTTAAAGTATTGCTTAATTAAGAAGAAGGATATCTAGCATAATTAAGTATCTAACAGTTTCATTGATATTACATACTAGTTGGAAAATGAAGAATTCTGATGTTTGCACATAAATGCATTTCTACCTCATTTTACTTACTGCATGGGCGTTTTCATGGTTATCTCCATGTGTAATGTGTACATTAGGCAGTTTCTCTTAGAAAATCTTCTGTGAAGCCATCCCTCCCCTTAGGCAGATATCCCTCGTGTGCTTTGTCACAGTCAAATAAACCAAATCAAACCACCTCACTTTACTGTTATGTTATGTTTATATATTATGTTATATTTTTCAGTTTAAGTCTCTTTAATGGTAGATCAGCTAGATCTGGATTCTAGATTTGATAGCAGTACCATCGTACTTTGCGATCAATTTTGATAAATATGTCTTGCATTCTCAACAAGAAGTCTTATACACTGCTCGACATTGAAAATGCAACACCAAGAAGGAGTGGTCAGAAAGCGATGAAATTTGGAAAAAAGACAGAGACAGCAAGCAGGAATAAGTGATCTTTATTTCAAAATGATAGTCAGAATACAGAGCGAGAATGGCGTTGGCTCAGTAAGATGTAGGACCACTGCGGACAGCGATGCACGAGGAAACACGTCTAAGCATAGAGTCAATAAGAGTGCAGATAGTGTCCTGAGGGATGGCTCTCCATTCCCTTTCAACCATTTGCAACAGTTTGTCTTCTGAATGAGGCAGGGGCAGAGTATGCAAACGATGTCCAATCACATCCCACACATGTTCGATTCGTGACAGGTCAGGAGAAGTACGGTGGTCAGGGAAGCATCTGTATACCTTGCGGAGCATGTTGGCAGATGCAAGCACTGTGTGGTCGGGCGTTATCCTGCTGAAAAATTGCATTAGGCAGCCCCTGAAGGTAGGGGATTGCCACCGGCCCGCCCCAGTATATTATCTAAGTATTGTTGGGCCATTATAGTGCCCTGAATACAAACTAGAGGTGACCTGGAATCATAGGTAATAGTGCCCCAAACCCTTACGCTACATTGTTGCGCGGTGGAGCGTTCCACGATTGCTGCCGGATTAGATATATCTCCACGTCGATGCCACACACATATGCGGTGACTGTGAGTGGATAAACAGGAGCGGAACTCATCTGAGAACACAATGATTCACCATTCTGTCATCCAAATCGCTCCAGTCCGACACCATTCTAAACATTGGCATCTATGCTGTAGGGGTCAATGCAGTCTTCTTAACGGACACCGTGAGTGCAGGCCACGTTCAACCAATCAATGGGAAATGGTTCTGGTCGACATGGGAACATCCAGGGTATCTTGCACATGCTGCGCAGAATTGCAGTACAAGTGACTTGTCGTTGGATACATCGATCCACGCGTGCTGATGTCACTCTGGTTGCACCTGCATCCTTCCCTCTTCCCACATTTCCTTGTTCCAATTATGTTCGCCATAGCCAATGCACCGTGCTCGCATCCATGTGGGTATCAGCCGTTATCTGATGTAAGGACCAACCCGCCCTTCTCAGTCCAATCACCATACTCCTCGTAAAATCGTCTAATGAAGGCACTGCTGGAAGTGCCTTTGTTGACGGCGGCCTGGCATTCTCTCCTATTACACGTATCCTCCGGGACAAAAGCCAACTTTCTTTGATAATTTGTCTGGCAGAAATAACGACACAAATATTGCCCATTCTGCATGTTCCTTCCCTTATATCTTACTTCACGTGCGTCGGAGAGCTGCGCATTTCACATCATTCGCATAATTCAGTGACGTGCGTCTACTCTAAAATTTGCACAAATTTCTGACCACTCCTTCTTGGTGTTGCATTTTCAATGTCGAGCAGTGTATTAATCCCTTAATGAAGGGATGTGGACTATTTGAAATTTATAGTGGTGCTCTAAGGGAGCCAAATGTTATGGCAACCCTACTTTCATAGAACTCCTTTTGACGAAACGAGGAAGGCTGCTGATAGAATTTAAACACAGAAGGCATATTTTTTGCCATATAAAAATGTTTATATGAATGCTCATAGAGTTTAATTTAAAGATTAAACATATTGTACGTAAGTGCTTATGTAATAAATTATTATAAACACCATAAAGAATACAATTTTTGTACACTGAGATTATTAATTCACCACATGAGACAGGTTGCACACATTTGTGCTATTTGAAATTAAAAAGCTTGAGCAAAACTAAATGTCTCACTTGAGTTCCCTGGAAAATGGCTTTTGAAGTGATAAATGCTTGAAATTGAGTCTGTATGTGAATAGGGGTACAGTGACTTTAGGAATTGTAAAACCATATATCAAAATTGAAAGTTGACAGAGCTAAACTCCAACAATATTACAGAGCCCACTACATGAAATTTGTAGTGAACAGGAAGTTGATCATGGTACAGTCTTCCTCTCGGTTGGTTTATTTAACGATGGCAAAGTATCTGAAAGCTATCTGCCTAAAGGGAAGAATGTCTTCAGAGGACTTTCTAAAGGAAACTGACTTGTATCCATATTATACACAAGGATAACCATGAAAACACTTATACAACCAGCCTGTTCACTAGGATTCAAAACCTGGACTAAAATCAGCATTCAATGACTTTACCACACAGCTGTTGGTAGGCCATCTTTGGGCTACTATGCTTCCATGAAGGATACATCAGATGTATAAGGATACTGAAGATTGGTAGGGCTAAAAATATCAGATTAAAGAAGTATAATGTCAGCAGCAGAGCTGTGGCAATGGTGCAGCTGCACTAAGTGGCAGAATTAAGGGGCAAAAAGTTTTACAAGTATGGGGTGGCAGAAAGCCTATTGCTGGCTTTAAACTAGTGCATATTTATGGCAAACTAAATAAAAACAACTTTATCAAACAATATGCGGAAAAGTATCACAAGCTAAAATGATTTCACCAGCATTAGTATCTCATATTTTCACAGAAGCTTTGTAGAAGATAGAAGTTTATGTCCAGCTAATCCCTTATTGCTTGATGCAGTATTAATTAAATGAAGATTTGATGATTTAGGTAAAAGATTTCTATCTGAAATAACAGTAAATAGCAATATATGAATTATAAATTTCAACCAGAAATGAAATTGTTGTCAATACAATGAAAAGTCCATTCTTCCCATAATCCCAAAAATTCTAACATGCTCAACCATTGCTGAAATAAATGATTATTTTGTCCAGAATTACCCGGGAGTTATCATGAAAGGTAGAGTGTCATGCAGGAAAAGTGGAAATCCAGCATATTACTCCAAACAGGGTTGTAACTCAAACAGGAGAATGAAATACCCTGACTTTTCCAGGTGTGTTTCAAAAAGGCTATCTGCATAGTGTATGTTGGCTTTGCTGAGCACAAATTAATTATGGTACGACTTGAAAACACAAAAATTTGCCAGTTACATATGACTTTATATAATATATATGTAATGATATTTTTAAATCAATTGATTAAATTAAATTATAATTATATTGCTTAATAATGTATTGGTGATTCTCTACCTAAATTGCATCCCTGTTCCTAAATTTTGGTGAAATCCTTTCTTTATTATAAATTATATTAACCTGTTGGCATCCGCCAAATTGCCAAACTCATAAATTTGTCATATTACATAAAGTCCTTAAGAACACTCCTGATGAGAAGATAGCATCACCTCATGACTTCAATTAATATCGCTGATTGGATGAGCACCATGGCGCACAAATATCTATAAATAGGGTTTCTCCTTGAGGTACAGGAGAAATGCTTGTGAGATGGATGCTAAAATGAACGTATGAGATTCTACATTTCATATATATATATCTTCAAATAGGAGTTGTTTCCTCCTCTGAGGATTGATTTTAGAATCTGCCCAATCAAGATTTAAAAATGTCTTTACTGCAGACATTTTGCAGCTAAAGGAAGAAAGAAGTCTATTTAATGATGTTTTAAAACAAATTCAAATATTTTATATTTATTTAGCAGCATATATAAGTAAAACATTGTGCACTAAATTTCGTGATGGTGCATCATATTACTGCTGGAATTAGTTTCACAAGTATGCCAGAGAAAACTGCCTGAATTTTGAAAGTATTACTAACAATAAATAAATTTAGAAGAAAGAAGTTACATACGAATAATATTAATATTATAAAGTTCATTACGTAAGGATTAAAAACTGAATGACAAAAATTGATGGTATTTTGGTGAATATATACAGTAAATGGTTAGCCTAGATGATTGATTATTTTTTTATTTATTTTACTGCAAAATGACAAATAAGGCATTTAAGAAAGAAGAAAAAGGTTTAAAAGATTTTGTTTTATGAGAATGGGGAGAATTTACTTCCATTCACAACATGCCCTGCACATACGAATCTCTGGATTTTCGAGGTTACTGGAAACCAAAGATGATGGAAACTCATTTTGTCTTTTTTTCTAAAGACAATCTGTTTGGCTCTGAGAAAACTGGCTCCACACCAGCTGTCCGAATGGCATTCATGTGAGACACGACTCGCCAAGAAACAGATTGCTTCCAATATTGGTGCAAAAATCATTTTTTTTTTTTTTTGGAATTGCAGTATGAAATTCCCCGACTTTTCCAGATTTTGACTAAAATATTTAAATTCTCTGATTTTTCCCTGACAAGGAAATTGCATGAAAGTGACCTGACCAACTTCAGAATGAGGAATTAATTTTGAAGACCATCTGCACATGAGAATATTGTGATTGTAACCAAGTCTGAGTGGGAAAGTTTATCTTACCAACCACAAAATCTCTCAAATTTCTAATTCTTCCCAGAACAGAAAAAGGTATTGTGTGGATGGCATTTCCTCATTGAAAGAGGCTGCTTTAGCAGTTACCTTAGCTGTTTAAGGACTTAATAAAAGTAGTAAGTACCAGTAGTCCCCCAAGATGGTGGATCACAACTGTTGTGATGAAGCAAGGGGATTACACAACAGAAAAACAAGCAGATACTGCCAGAAATAAAATTAACATTAGGAAAAAAATAGAATTAATTTTAAATTACCTGCGAACTTGTATGTTTTGAGTGGTTCCGAAGGTTGCCGTAAAAGGAAAATGGCTTCGACAGTAGTTTGCACAAAAGGAATTATTTGCAATTTTATTTGCTACTCTGATGATAAAAGCATGGCCCACAGTTTTAAATAGATTGAATAATTACACATGAAATATAATTTAAGAAATCAAATTAATGACTGATATAGAAACATCTATTTCAAAATGGAATTATAGTTAAAAAATTAATCTACTGTTTGTTACAGGCAAATAGCATTTAAGAGATCAAAGAGCCACTGATTTATGAACACCTAAATATGACTTCAAAACTATAAAAACCTAAATATGGCTAAGTAAAAATATAAATCACATCTTCCCTCTCCCTACCAAAATAAATAAATAAATGAATATTTATAAATGCATAAATGTAATGCGAGATACATAAATAATAACTAGAAATAATGAAATTTCTAATAAAGCATCTTTGCAACAAAACAAAATTCTGTGTTTTTCAGCCACAGGCATACGGTAACCTTGCCACTCACTCACAATATTTAAGTTTATATTTTTAACTTCTTTTTGAAAATTATATCTGCTAAAATCATTAAAAGATCTAATTTCTCACAAAAAATAGAGAGGTTTAATAAGTTTTGCATAATAAAACATATCAATGCACTTCTATAATTGGGTTAACAATACACATATTACTTATTAAGAAGTAAAAATGGAATCTTACCGAGAAAAATAAGGGTGATACAAACTATCTTTCGCTGTAAGTCTGTGGTTTGGATTCAATGTAAGCAGCTTTGAAAGCAAATCTTGAGCATCATTAGAACAATTATGGAGAACATTCTTTAAAAGGCGTTTAGGCCTAGAAGAATTCAAATTAAAACATAAAAATGGAAACATGCACAGCTTCATATACGGAAATTTTACACATATATTACAATTAAAAAAAAGTTTATTTTGTAAAATGCAACTATAGTCAGTTATTTTAGCAAATGCCTGGGGAAAGCATGTTTTTTTTTTTTTTTTTAAACAGACATATTAATACAGCATACAACTCCCTAAACATAATTACACAGAAAATAATTTTTAAAAATAGCAACATATTTCAGTCATTAATACCCCTCAACAGCAACATAAAATCTTTAACAAATGTTATATCTTTAAAGAAAGACTAAATTTCTACTAATATATATATCTTCAAAAAAGTTACTCAGAACAAAATAACTTTGAACAAAATCCAATTTAAAAAAACTAAAAAAGGTTAAACATAATGAAAGTTAGGGAAAACAAACTAACTACAGGACTATTTTAGACAGTAAATTACTTATTATACTTACTTGTACTCTGAAAGTGAATTTATATTACATTTAATGCAATAGAATATTAAAAGCAGTAACACATTTTTGCCTGCTTGCATTAAATATTTGACAAAAATTAAATGAAAAAAAAAATTAGTTAATTTTTTAATTTACTCTGTTTTTAATCATCACAGAATCAAAGGATTAAAGGAAATGACCATACTTGTTTGCAGCTCTCCCCAATACAAAAGCAGCATAACCACTACATAAACTGTCAATATCTGAAATTAAGCATAAATTACAATTATCAATTCCATTAACTAAAATAATGTCACATCATTTTATTAAAATTTGAAAATAAAATAAGTAGAAAATAACAATTAAATGTTTTGTTTTATATATCTTGAATGGAAGCAAAGTAAAAAATATGGTCAAAATGATAAAATATTCTTTAATATTCTTGTTTTTGATACTTATTTTTTAAATTAATTATGCAAGTTACACATAAATTTTTTTTTAAAAAAGATAACCCCTGAACATCGAATTTTATTAAAACATTATAATTTTACATATTTTATTACATAAATATGAACTAAAGAAAGGCACTAATGTGAATCTTAAGACATTGGTTTTCTCAAAAGAATAATCAAATTCATATACATATATAAAAATTTTTGATATTTCAAAAAAAAGTGTAACTCCCATAAAAAATTCATTAATCCAAAATATTAAATATAAAAATACCCACCATCCCTTAGCAACAAATACCGTCTTTGGTATGTAATACATATCACAGTTACTTACTGTATACAGAACATAATCTGTGATGGACGATAACCAACCTATATATTGTACTCCTAATATTCATTTTTAGAATGATTCCATAGAAGTCACAAAATTTCAATTTATATATTTCAAACTTCAAGTATGTCATACATAAGAAGAATACACTAAGAAACATTTTACAGTGTCTCTCAGAAATTCAGCATATGATGTAAATTCTCAAATAGAAAGTGATCAACATAATAGACAAATATCACATGATGTGTTGAAAAGCGAATTGCTTTCCTAAAAAAATTAACTGTGAAAGAAAGGTTAAATACAAAAGGGATTCACAGTCCAAGAGCTATAAATAGGTGCTTCTTTGCTAAACCAAAAGAAGCATGAGACAACTTGACCTAGGCTATTAAAAGCCTTTCATATGGCATTAATCCCTCAACCTTTGGAGATTATTCATGGGAGAACCACCACCACAGTCCTGGGCAGCAAATAAGAAAAAATGTCAATGTCAAATATCCTGGGAAACAAATAAGAACAATTTCAGAGTCATGAAAAGCAAGACAAAGGCAATCAAGCCTCAATTGGTTGTCTATAAAGAGAATGAACAGCACAAAGTCAGCATCTATCCTCAAGTGTGGACCAATGGAGACTAAAACCCCGAGGACAAACTTTGTGTCATCAAACATGCAGGGACACCACAGCCTGAGTCAGACTTAGCAGTACTAGTACATTTCCTGCTAAGCCTGAATGGACCACCAAAAGAGTCAGTGGTTCTAGTCCTGTAAAGATAATCTATTTACCCTAAGAGTTGCATTTATCAAAGTACAAATCTTAGTCAGAATGCCAAGAGTTGCTCTCCAGTTGACCTGTAGGGAGGGAGTGCCTATAGGGTTTCCCAACAGGGGGTGGGGAAGAATTTGATAGTTTCAGAGGGATGAGGTCAGGTTTTATTTACATCTTAAGTATTTTGTTTTAGCTTATGAAATAAAAAGCTACTTTTGCTCAAGTTTTGGTATTTATCAATTTTTCAATACTTTTTCTTGTTTAATTCATAAAACACATTAAAAAATAATCTAAATTTAAATAAATGTACATGCATTTTCTAAGTTTTGGAAAGGGGAGGATGATGATCTAGTAACAGTGAAAGGTAAGCACCGGACAAAAAAGGTTAAGAATCCCTGATCTATAGCATATAACTTGAAAAGAATCATAATGGTCCAATGTACTTCATGAACAAGATAAGATTTACTCTAGAACCAGGCTATAAATGCATAAGAATCTGGAGAGAATAAAGAACATAAAATCCAATTTTTTTGATAAAATCACTGAGCATTACATTTTTAGTCATAGTAGTGTATTACTATGACTAAAAATACTGACTGTAGTACTTTCAGTCATAGTAGTGTAAGGTTTCTTTAATTAGAATAACCAGCTATTTTATGTTTTGAATTTGTGCTTTATATTTCTCTTTCCATTTTCCCATCAGAATACAAATAAATTAGCATGTATTTAAAGGGAGGTTTTTGAGGCTGTTAAGTCACAGCATGTTTGCTTCAAGACCACATTGCTAGGTTTGCTACTTTAGATAAATGTTCCTGTCTTCAGCCTTGTATTATATTTCCATATAGTTGAATTCCCACCTGTGAAGTTCGAAGCCAACTTTGCATGTAATCGTTCTGTGTAGTCTTTGGCTAATAGTTGTTTAAATTTAGTTTTACATTTGATTTACCACCTTGAGTTTCTCGCCATAAATGCTGGCAGATTTATAAGCACCCTGACTGCCTTCTTTTCATCTTTTACTTTACATTTACGAATAAAAAGGTTCTTATACAATCTTCTAAAGCTTCTGCTCTTATTTTAGACTTAGTAATAAGTCGCTGACATCTACATAGAGTTAAACACTTTGTATATTAGAAAAGATAGTCAAATTCTACAGCAGTATCTGTTTAATTTGGAGAAGAGGATATTTCACACTGACTTGCAGGGGTACTATAATGGCAAAAAGGTACTGTGTGCATCCATCAACCCCTTCCTATTACTCTCCAAGAACTCCAAATGTCCTGCTTATTACAAGGCAGTTACTGCCCTCTGCTACATTCTGTCATATTATTAAAGGAATGAAATCTTAATATGAAGCTTGTGTCAAAGTAAGGATACATCATATTCTGCATAAAGTTAATGCATTTTCACAACATACTAAACTTTTTCTGAATGCATTAAGTTTTGACAGCTACTAATCTATTTAAATATATTTCCTTTTTATTTTCTTATTATATTCTAATAAAACAAAGAATTAACTAAGTTATTATAAATAACTCAGATAGCTATCTTCTCATTAAATTTGGAATCAATCAAACCTTATACTTTTATGTTAAATTTATTACATGTTTAAACTTTGGAAGAGAGTGGAGAGTATTAATGCTAAATATAATAATTTAAGATCTGCAATGAAGGAATTCTCACCTGCCTGAGAAGGATGAGGCAAAGCAGCCATTATTCTTTCAACCTGATTAAGAGTTGAAGTTCCTGGAAAAAGAGGCTTCCCACCAATAATTTCCCCCATTATGCAACCAACACTCCAAACATCAACACCTTTTGTATAACTGTGGAAGAAAATAATACTTTAAGACAAAAATAATAAATATATCAACGGTTTTTAAAAATTATTAGTTTCAAGCATTTTAAAGGAAATTTTAATAACAATAATAATTTAATGATTTTAAAAACATTAATAACATAATAATTTAAAAACATAATAATTTAATAATTTTAAAAACATTCAGAGTGAAATTATTGGACTGTTACACAATAATATAAAGTCTTATATTATAAAACAAGTTCAAAAAGCTAAATAATATTCCTTTTTTTTATTGCACTCCCAATATGAGAAAAGTTGAGCAAATGACATTTGTAGTAAGATATGTTTCCATTAATCAATCAGAAGCGAGATTTAAATGTAACGTTAATGAATATTTTCTGGGTTTTCTTCCTATTGAAAGATCTACTGGTAAAAAATTATCTCAAGTTTTATTAGAAGAGCTGGAGAAAAATGGATTAAAATTAGAAAATACGAGATGTCAATGTTACGGCAATGGTTCAAATATGAGATGCAATAAACTGGGAGTATAACCAAGAATTAAAACTTTAAATCCCAGAGCATTTTACGTACCTTGCAGCAGCCATTCATAAAACTTAGTAGTTCACGATATGGAAAAATCCTACTAGGAGGCAGCGGAATATTTTAATATAGTTCAAAAGCTATATAGATTTTTTGCATCTTCAACTTTTCTTCAGTGGGCCATATTAAGAAAACATTATAACTCTTATATTAAAATCAGTGAGTGATACTTGTTGGGAAAAGTTGTCTAGATTCCCTAAAACCTTTACACTTCAAAATAGAAAATATTCATGATGCTTTATTAGGTATTTATGAAAATGTAGAAATGGATATTATGATTCAAGATGAGTCTATTGGTTTATTGATCGTGATAAAGCAATTTAAGTTCTATGTTTGATCACCATTTAGTATAGAATTTTGTATCATAGTAATCAGATACATAAGCTAAACAAAATATTTGAATTATTATTAATTACATTAAGAATTAAAATTTTATCTTCTTTTATACTGAGAAAGGAAGACTCACTTTCTTGTGTGTTGTTTAACTTGGAACTGGAAAAGACCCTGCCAGAGTCTTGAACAAACCCAAGTGGAATTATTCAACTGCTAGCTTTTGCTGATGACACATATCATTGAAAGGTTTAAATGGACTGTTGTAGAGGCATTTTTCTCACTTGAATACGCAGCAGGGAAGATGGGTTTAACCATCAATGACAATGAGACAAAATTTATGATGGTAACAACAAACAAACAAAAAAACAAAACAAAACAACAAACAAAAAAAAAAAAAAAACATGGATATACCTCTTTTAAAGATCAACAATTTTACTTTTGAGACTGTTAAACAATTTAGATATCGGAGTATAATGATTTCAAGCTTCAATAATATTAAAATCAAAATTAGAACAGGATAGTTATGGCCAACAGATGTTTTTATACACTTAGAAACCAACTTAAATCCAAAATAAGTTGGTAAGACCTGTGGTCCTGTATGGAAGCAAATCCTCAACATTTAACAAGACAGAGGAAAACCTATTGCTGATATTTTAAAGAAAAATTCAAAGGAAGATTTTTGGACTGGTGAGGTAAAATAAATTGTGGAGGATATTACATAACCATGAAATCTATAGGAAAATATAATGAATCTGATATAGTCAAAATTGTAAAACCATCTCATATTAGATGGTTAAGCCATATTTATACAGGGTTCATACAGATTTCTGCATGTGGAAATTAAGTACTCTTAAGGACCATCAATAAAAAACTAAGACCTGTAAGAAAATAGAAACTGAATAAACTAAAGCAATTGTCTACATCCAAACTTTACTTTTGTAATTTGTAAGAATAAAATAAATCTGCAAGTAGGATGCATTATTATCAAACATAATCTAATATTTAACTTAGTTATAAAAGAAATTCAAGAATAAAACCAACTTCATAATTTTTTTTTCAGGTAATTAGCATTAAATTATGAAATTTCTTAAAACATTTCTATTTTACACTTATAACAGTCTCACATATTTTAAAGAAGATTAGTGACTTTTTATTTGAATTTTACTAACAGTTAGCTTTATATTGATTCTTTGAACTATGCTTCATTTTGTCACGCATTCACTTAGTCCATATATGCTGAATAAATATGAAATAATATAAGATCAAGGCCGGTACCAGAGCCAGTGCAGCAGAACTTTGTAGAATTTAATGTAGCACCAAGCAACAAAATTTAGTGATGGTTAAAAGTTTTAGAATTTAGGGCAGGCACTGAGGTGTGTATGGTGCACTAAAATATAAGATGAGCTTTTCTTTAAATTGTTCGGTTTTCTTTTCTTTGCTTGCTTTAAAGCTTTTAAAGCTTCTGTCTAATAGAAAGATAAGCGTGTTAAGAAAAAGACATTTGGTATCAAAAGGAGAAAATTCAAATAATTTTGTTTTCATTGTTCTTCCAAAAATTCTCCTCAACGTAAGAAATTCATTAAAAAATTACTACAAAACACATTATTTTACGTTTAAACACCATGAAGACATTTTTCATTTCGACACATTTTTCTGGAACTTGAGGTTTATAAATCTTGCTTTCAAATACTTCTAAGCCCTCTGAGGTGAAGTCTAAAATCTGAAAGTAAGAGCAAAATACCAGAAGATAAAAATAAATTAAACTGAAAGCTTTTAGATTTTATATTATGCCCAAAGGGGTGTTTTTTTTTAATGTTTTGTGTGTTACCTTTATTTACTAAATATAATATTCTTTGCACTTAAACCACAAAATTCAATTCAATAGCAATATAACAAAAAACTTTAAAAAGAGCATATCTTTAGAACTGCCAATACACAGTCTTGAAGCACTAGAGACAATCTAACATAAGAATATTATCGTTTTATAAAGAATGAGGAAAAACTAACCTATCCATATATTAGAAATCAAAAGACCTGTTTATAATAATAACATTTTACATTTGTTAGATGAAATAATATTACATTAACAGAGATGTAAAATACCTAGTCAGAGAAAAGTAAGTTTTAGGAATAAGGATTTTTAAAATAACATGTTTGAGAATCAGCTGAAGGGAGGCTTTTTTTGCATTAATTTTTTTTAATATGAAAAATGATAAAGTATTAAGTTCAAAGTGCATTTTAATTTCTGTTGAATAACTTTTAATCTGTATTGCTTTTTTTCAAGAGGTTTTCTTTTAGCAGTAACTACAATTGTAATTTTTGCATTCTTTGTTATCAGAATTTATTGAAGTTTTCCTTTCAATTATATGAGACACATCAATCAATAAATTAATAAATCAACTAATAAATTAGAGCTTGCAATTATGCAAGCTCTAATTTATTGGTTGATGTGTCTAATTTATCGGTTGTTGTATCAATTACTGCATGTTAATTTACTACAGGCAATTATTTATAGTATTAAATCATTAACTAAACAAATTTCATTTTAAAAATAACCAAGAAAGCGCAAGATATGAAATATTAAATTTACATAACAATAAGTTTATATAACTGAAACAAATTTCAATAAACATGAAAATTTCATACATCAGATAGATGCACAGGTACAGTACCAAGGAAGAAAAAATACAGGTACATTTTTATGAAAGTGCATTAAATGAAAGTCATTTTGAAAAAAGGGTAGCACCTCTTTTATTCCTCTTGTTTATCCTTTAAAACCATTACTGATTATTTGCTTTTGAAATTTGCTAAAAATTATTTAATACTTCAGTTCAAATGAAATATAAATTTGTAAAACAAAAATTTACATGGTTTCTATATTTCTGAATGATTTTTAAAGTGTTAGTAAATTTTTCATTATACAGTACAAAGTCTGTAATTCGGACGTCCATAATCCAGAATGATCTATAATCCGGACTTCAAAGTTACAAACTTTATGCCCATGCACAAACGCATGCACGTTTAATGTATAACGGACGGTATAAGCTAGGCTAAAATTATCTAAGGCATTTCAGTTAATGTTGCAGATTGCACTGTTCCTTAATCTTCTAATTGGATTTTCCTTAATCTTCTAATTGGATAATTCCTTAATCTTCTAATAATTTGCAGATTGTTAGAACAATCTTATAAAAATTAAGCTTGAACTTTCGATTATGTCAAAAAGAGTTTCCAATTCTGGAGCTGCCAAAGGATCTACAAAGCAAAGCATGTTTCGATGCCCATTAAACAAAAAGTGGAATTGTTGCAAAAAATGGATAAAGGTCCATCTCAAAATTATGCAAGAAGTATAGCATTGGAAAGACCACTATATGTGACACAAGAAAAAGGAACTTTTTGAATATTTTGTGGAAGCACCTTAAACAACTTACATTGAAAGAAATGTTTAATAAAGTAAACAAATAAATATTAAGCTTTTTTTTTTTTTTTTTTTTTTTTTTTTTGAAATTTGATACCCTTTAGATCATAATTGTTCTTTATTTCATATTTTTAATTGTATAATTTCTACATGCCATCTTACCAGATTTAAATTGATGATCTATAATACAGAAAAACCCCTAATCCAGAATTGCCGAAGTCCCGACGAGTCCGGATTACGGAATTTGTACTGTAATATCTACTTTTATATAAAACCCACGTAGTGAAATCTTTTAGCAAAGTAATAAACTGCATTAATTTATGAACAAGTTTTCTTGTTTTAGCTCATTTAGTAAATTATGGAAAAAAGAGCGGATGGTCTTTTTGAATACTTTAAAAATATAACTGCATTTAATACCTATTCTATTTTATCCTTGCATAATTAAATGCCCAGATTTATCAAAATGACATGCGTTTAAAACAATGCTAATCATAATGTACATATATTTACAGAAAAAATATGGTACCAAAAATATGTATGTATAAGTATACAGTCAAAAGTCGTTAATCCGGACTCGTCGGGACTTCGGCGATTCCGGATTATCGATTTTTCCGGATTACAGATCATCAGTTTAAATCTGGTAAAATGGCATGCAGAAATTATAAAAGTAAAAATATGAAACCGTAATTTACGAAATGAAGAACAATTGTGATGTAAAGGGTATCAAAATTTACAAAAAAAAGCTTAATATTTATTTGTTTACTTTATTAAACATTTCTTTCAATGTAAGTTGTATCAGTTGCTTCGTTTTTTATGTGATAATACATTCTCTTTAATTCTATAAACAGACATAATTTCTTGTTCAGTTACAAAGTTCCCTGTTCAAGTCCTATAATTGCTGTGTCCGACTAATTTGTCAATCGAAATTTTTTTGTTTTCAATAACCTATGTCACTTTCTTCGCTATCGGAAGCGAATTATAATGACGAGGCATTTGATTTAAATCATATCAAAGACAGAGTACATCGAGATGAAATGCTACATTGAGTAAGCAATTATAAGCCAAATAAAATAAAAACATCTGCCCTTAAGATAAGGATAGTGCTGACAAATCAACTTCCAATTCATTGCACGCCGGGGGGGTGTTAAAGATAAACAAAGTTTAGATAAACAATCGTTTAAGTTTAGATAAACAAAGAATATGCCTTTATCCATTTTTTGTTTAATGGACTCCGAAAGATACTTTCGCTTCGTATATCCTTTACATATTAGTAAATATATATCGGAAATTCTATTTGACATAATCGAAAGTTCAAGCTTACTTTTATAAAATTGCTCTAACAGTCTGCAAAAAATAATAATCCGGATCCAACTCGAAGATTAAGAAACAACGCAATCTGCAACATTAACTGAAATAGATAATTAGATAATTTTAGCTTAGCTTATCCCGTCCGTTATACATTAAATGCGCATTCGTAAACGTATTTTGCGCACGTGCACACGCAAATTCGCAGCGGTAAAGGTCTTACGCGCATGCGTCAACGCGACGCATGCGCAGAAAGTTTGTAGCTTTGAGGTCCGGATTATAGATCATTTCGGATTATGGGTGTCCGAATTAACGACTTTTGACTGTATATACAGTGTGAAAATATACATAGGTTTTATGGAAAATGCTCCTATAAATGCAATAAAAAAGTAGTTGGATATTTACGTAAATTTTAACAGAACATTCATGTTATGCATCATAAAGAATAGAGCAGATTTGCCTAAATTTTACCAAAATTATGCATATACGCAAAGGAAAAAATAAGGTAGATTTATATAAATTAATTTATGCACATAAAAGAATTAAGTAAATTTTTATTAAAAATATACACTTATGTGAAGTAAAAATTTGGATAAACTTGCATAAATACAATAAATATATGTAAGGCTTTATCAATAATATGTGTAAATACTTGAAATATATGAAAATTATACATACAATTATGAATAAAGCTCAACTAATCTCATGAATATACCTTAATTTTACATATATTTTGTGCTTATTGAAGCATAAAAATATACATGAATATTTACTATTTTTTTTCTGGACACTATGATATTTTCACGTTTAGGTTTTATATATTTTACACAAAAGGTAATTCATAAATCGCATGTATTTTTTGCCTGCAATTTACAAATTCATGCTGTTTGAGTAAGTATTATCCTGTTGACTGTAAAACTGTTACCAGGCAGCATGATTTAGCTCCATATATGGATTAATGTGATGTAACACACTTATGACATCTGTGCTTTTGTTTGATATAACCCAATTAATTCTGGATAAGCTACCTTTTGTTTTCATGAACAAGGATCTAAATGAACTGTTATTGTTGTATTTTTTCCCTTGCATTTTTTGGGGAAAAAAAGGATTAAAATTTTGGACGTGCTTTTTACAGAACAGCAAGCAGTGGATTATTCTCAAAACTATAGGATCCTAAAAAGTGTATGCGAACAGACATGACACAGTCAGTTGAATAAGGCTGACAAAACAATATTACAGTGGAACAATTACTTATAGGAAGTTTATATTCATAGCATTCTAAATACAACTTCCAGTAAAACCAGATAGCCTAACGAAATAGTAGAAATGAAAGAAAGTCATTTTGTTAAGTGCAGAATTGAAGCAGGTTAAATACTGATTGTTTATTAAACAAAAAGGCATTAGTTCCTTCAAAATTTCATAGTAAATAATGGCTCAACTTTAGTGAACTTTCTGCCAATTCTCATGGTTCGATGATATCCAGTTTCCACAGTAGATTAAGGACCTAATTTTTTCTATCCAGGTGACTAAAGCCGTCTAATCTAAACATGTCGAAAAAGGGAAATACTTTTCAAGATTTCTGACAAATACCAACAGTTTTCAAACATTCAAAACTATTGGTATTTCATTTTTTACAATATTAACCACAGTAGCATGACTGCCTTTATTCAGTCACGAGATTTTTTATCACTTGGTACACATTAACTTATAATTTAAAATATTTTGCTTTCTTACTTTCTTTAATGATGTAAATATCATAGTAGTGATTGGAAGTTTATGAAACAGAGACTAAAATAAGCGATTATACAAATTTAGCTGGTAAATTTTGTTAAAATACAGGTCTTTATGAACAGATACAAAAGCCATGCCACTTAGGGGATTAAGCTTCTTAAGAAGCAAAAAATTTGAGTTAATTTCATACTTTAAAAATAAATAAAATGAGATGAACTGGCAATGTACTGCTCATAATCTCTTCAAATGACATTCAAATGGCATAATTATTACATCACCTGGATCAACCTCATTCAATTGTAAAAATCTGCAAAATGGCACTTGCATGCTCAGCAAAAATTTGATGGTCAGTTAATTGTTTGCCCTCTTAGGTTTCTATTGCCCTTTTCTTTAAGGTTACTCAAGTTAAACAAGAACTTAAAGGAAGAAATCAATTTGTCTATATTCCTAGCATCAAATATAATCAAATTTATCTTTCTTCAGAGGCTCTAACAGTTGAAAATCTATCCATGACTGGTTAGTGCAATAGCAAAAATGCCATCATTAAAACAACTGCTATAAAAGACTAAAAAGGAAGATTGAGATTTCACTAAACATCACAGTGCTAATCACGAATTTGAACTTAAAATAGGATTGAAGCAATAAAAGCAGTTTTTAAAAATGTCTTTAAATTGATCTGTGGCATCATTATTAGTAATACTGAAATTACGAAGTCATCTACTAAGATACAAGTTGAAAATGACCAAGAAAAACACAAAAATGGGACTTTTTATACAATGAATCTGGTTCCAGGCATACATTATGGACTGCTCCCAAAAGAAAATAAATGAACAATGGAACACAGAATATATAGTAATAACTAATGAAATTACATTAATTTAAGCTAATTACTAGAAAAAGGTCAAACAAAACAGTATCTTATACTATACAAGGCAAGAAATGGGTTATAGTTCCATGGCCAGAAATATCGTATTTCTATCCTTAGCCAAAGCACAGCACTCTGAAATATTTTTAAATATTCAAACAATATTCACCTTCTTTAATACATTTAGAGCAAGCTCCGTTCAATTTTAAAATGGACTGTCCATGCAGTAACTGTTTTCATCTTATGATTTGCTTGTGGAATTCGGGTGCATGGACTCTGACTTGCTAAGCAATAATAGTGAACACCATCAAGAAAATAGAGATATCTAATACTCTTGAGTGTTATGAAGCTCATTGCTTGTGGGAGGATAGGTAGAACAGTGACAATGGTGATGACCAGCAAGCTTTAGCAGCGTTTAAATTAGCAGTGGGAAATAATAAGTGAGGGCAAGATTCAAGAAACAGAGAAGTAGAAATGAAGATATCTTATTAATTAGTGTAATGTTAATATTACTGTGTATTCTTGTTAAAATACAGGTTTTTTTTAAATAAATAATATTGTGATAGTTACCTGTAGTTTATTCATGAATCTTTTTCATTTATTTTGTTATTACTGTTACCATGTCCATTGGAAATTAAACTTTATTGTATGAAAATCGAGACTGGAAAACTCTCAATTTTCATACAATAAAATTAGTTAAAAAAAGGGAGGGAAATACATAAGTAAATATAGTATTTGCAGTTCTAGAACAAATTTATCACTCACTGGAGTGGCAACTGAAAGTTTCTGTTTGATTGCTCAGTGATATACAAGTCTTCATCAGCACGTAATCTGAGAGACTTCTATAAAAGACAGTATCATTAAACATTACATTTACCCATACTTATTTTTTAAACTTAAGCCCAGGACTACAACTATTTCCATATATATATAAATATTATATTGATGCAAGCGGTGATTATCTCAAAATATATGCTGAAATCCCTTAAATAATGCTTTAGTTATTAATAAAAAACATGTGAATGGTTTTGATCCAGATGATGTGGAATTTTTACTTTAAGTGATTAAGTGAAAAAATTAGCATACTGTTTAGAGCCAAGGAGGATTTCTGGAGCTCTATACCATCGGGTAGCAACATATTCTGTTAAAGTAGGGTCAGAGGCATATTCACCACTCTGTTCTAGAGAACGTGCTAAACCAAAGTCAGCCAGCTTCAGTTCACACCTATTATTCATGAGTATATTAGACGGCTGAAAAAAATGAAAACAAAAATGGAATAATTTTCTGCATTACTCATCTTTAAATAGTATCTATATCTATTAATTTTAGAGAAAGAATTTTTCAAAAGGAAAATTTATAATCTTCCAAGAATTTTTGTGCATTATGCCACTGAAAATTGATCAGTAAATGTATAAAGAAAGAAATTTAGAACCAATTTTTCACAGAGACTGAAAATTGAAATTTAAATGAATTTCATAAAATCCTATAAATACAGAATAAGAATATTTTAAAATATAAAAATTAAAATAAACCATCACAAGAAAAACCAAAAAAAAGAATATAAAAGAACAAGAAAGAAGAGGTATCCAATTAACTTCAATATAACATCGTCAGGAGGAGGTTTGTCAAATTTCAAAGATTGTTTTCAAAGTATAATTTTAATGCTTTCTACATATTAAGGGTAAGTTTTCATTTTTATTAACATTTCTTTTTAGAATAGAAAAAGTTTTTTTTTTTTTTTTTTTTTTTTTTTTTTTTTTTTTATTAGATATTTTTAATGATTTTACTTTGTATGTTTGCCATATTTCTTTGCTTTGAGGAGGACAAGAATTTTTGAGTGAACCATTAAGATTAAAAAATATATTGAAATGGTTCATATGTTAATTCTGAATACAGAAAAGCAAGGATTTTGTTTTGGAAGGAGAACTGTAATTAAGTTTGACATAACTCTTCCTGACAATCTTATGTCGAGTTAATTGGATACCTCTTCTTTCTTGTTCTTTTAAACTCTTTTTTTGGTTTTTTTCATGATGGCTTACTTTAATCATATTAAAATATTCTTATTCTACATTTATGAAGTCCATCTGAATCTCAATTTTTAGTCTTTGTGAAAAATTGGTTCTAAATTTCCTTCTTTATACATAAACTCTTTTGTAAAAAAAATCGAAGCCCCAAGAAGGACTTTTACAATCCTAGTATGCAAAAACATCTTGATCAAACATGCAAATTATCAAAGTTTCAAGGCAAATGAACGGGAATTGCGATCACAGCATGTATTTCTAGTGCGCAGTTCACAAAGTATGAAACCAGTAACAGAGGGGGAAATTTATCTTTTTTTTTTTTTTCTTTTTTTTTTTTTTTTTTTTTTGTTGCTGCCATTGTAATTTTGTAAAGAAGCAACTAAAGATGCCATTATGACGATATCAAAGACCTTACAGACAACTAAACAACTTCAAACGTGGTCGCATTGCAGGGTTGCATAAAACTGGGTGGTCATAGCCGTCACATGCAGTGTACAGACACTGCTGTGCAAAGATGTTGGCAGCAGTGGTTGCTACAAGGAAATTGCTTATGAAATGAAGGCTCTGGAAGGCCAAGGAGCACAAATGCAAGGCAAGATAGGATGACTGTTCACCAGGCCCGAAACCCAAACGGTATCGTTGTCGACTATTCAACGCACTACAGCCACGTCTATACCTCTCGTGGTACTGTCCACCATCTCACGGCGCTTGTCTGAGGCGGGGTTACACTCACAGAGGCATTTAAAACGTTTGCCTTTGACCCCACAACATTGGTGGAGTCGTCTGGAGTGGTGTCGCAGCCGATCATCCTGCTATTAGACTAACATTGTATGGTGTTCAGCGATGAATCTCGCTTCACTCCTGAAGCAGATGACTACAGTATTCGTGTCTGGAAAGGACGGGACCAGCGGTCCCAATCAGCCTTTGTTTTACAAAGGCATATAGCTATAACCTCTGGTGTGATGATGTGGTGTGTTATGTCTTATGACAGCAGGTCATCTTTATTCATTCTCCATACATCTTTAACAGCTCAACGATATGTTCATACCATTCTGCGGTCGGTTGCATTACCCTTCATGGCACGTCATCTTGGACCATTTTCCAACAAGCTGATGCCAGGCCACATACCACTTGCATAACTCTGGACTGTCTCCATGCAGGTGATACTCTTCCTTGGCCAGCAAGGTCAGCAGACCTTTCACAAATCAAGCATGTCTGGGACACAGCAGGCCACCAAATTTGGCACCACAAAATATCACAGATCTGGAGCGACAACTGATGAATGCCTCGCAGAATGTGTCGCAGGATGACATTAGGAACCTCTACCACTCCTTGCCTCGACGAATTCAAGCATGCAGTGCCACCAAGGGTGGTTCGACCAACTTCTAATTTCAGCACTCAATGGGTGATTGTGAGCCGTGAACAGGTACTATGACCTTGATTTTTTAATCATTTTATTATCTGTGTATGAGCTATACAGATATTCAATTTCTTCAAAAACAACCACTTCCTTTATGGTGCTTGAATTTTTTTTTTTTTTTTTCAAAAAAGTGTATATGTAAGATAAAATATAAAAGAAAATTTCTAACAAATTACGAACTTGATTGGCAATAATGCTTTTAGTTTGGCTATATCTCAGTCCTGGAATTTGCACTGCATCACTTATGTCATTAATTTCATTTCACCATCAAAAACTCACACAGAGGATTTCAACACCATACATACCTCAGTTGCTAATATGTAATCACTTTGCCCCCTTCCCTTGCATAACAATCATCTGTTCATTGCTTTGTAACTTTCAGCTATGATTTAAAAATGTATTATGTCTTATATAAAATTGTGGGGCACAGTGTTGTATCAATAAGAAAGATATGAGCTAAAAAATTATTCACCAAGAAATTAAATGATGCTACAGCTAAATTTATCAAGCTATATGTGCTTTCCAAAGTTTCAGTCATTCATATATATATATATATACTCGAAAGATGCCCCAGGGAAAAATGCGATAATCTTATAACAGAAGGAAATGAAACCAAATTTTTACATAACATGCCTTTATGTCTGAAAAATGAAAATGCATTAGAATAGGTACTGTAAGTGACCTCTTCCCACCTGTATACACAGTTCAACACAGTGTTGCATTTTCATGTATGTTGCTCCCAGATTACATGTGGTAGCGTGATGAAGCGTCATCCCACTTGTCAGGATATCGGAATTCAGGAAACACACGTTTATAGAATAGTGACAATCTGCATACAGTCATCGAGGAACCCTTTCATTCACAGAAGATGAGTATGCTTTGTGCATTACCACAGCTACACATCATCGGGCCAATTTTTTTACATTATTGTCATCACTGAAGTGTGCATTTTTTCATGAATTTGCGAACCAGTTGGATGATGAGGAGCTGACACTTGACTTACCAGCAAGATGGGGCAATATGCCGCACGCACATCTGTAGCAAATACGAACACAGTGGAATCACTTTTCCAGACTTGATCTCCCTCAAGTTTTTTCTATGAGGTCGTCTTAAAGGTAATACGCACAAGTACAAACCACGCACATTGACAATTTGCATCACAGTGTCCATCATAAAATCCAAAGAGTGATGCCCTACTGTGGTAGCAACATATGCAAACATGCAGTGCCATGTTTAACTGTGTGTACAGCAAGGGGAAGATCACTTCCAGCACCTATTCTAACACACTTTCATTTTTCAAACATAAAGGTATGTCGTGTAAAAACTTGGTTTCGTTTCCTTTTATTATAAGATTTTTATCACACTTTTATTAAGGCCTTTTTCGAGTGAGACACCCTGTATAATATAAATTATGTAGATAAATTTTTACTGTGCTCAGAGATTAATAGAGTTGTGTAGATTCATAAAAGGACATTCACAAGCAGATGTGACTAAAACAACACATTAATTTATTCTTCTGCATTCTTGATACATATCATCATCATTTTGAATATGATAAGCACCCCACAATTTTTCATACTGTATCACATTTTTTAGACAATGGACGACACACTATACAAAATGATGCAATAGTATATATTAACACAGAGAGAAATGCATAAAGTAACTGCATTTCAACAAAAAGGTATTTATTGAGTTGATTTCTTTGTTTAAATTTTGAAAGGCGAATGGACAAGAAGTATCTGATTGCTACTCCTATATAATGATGCAATGTAGATTAATTTTAAGATGATGCAGGAAGGAAGAGAACACAGTGAAATTAAAATTAGAAGGACTATTGCTAAATTAAAAGTAATTTTCTTTCTTATTTTATAGCTCTCATATAAAAATATTTAACTCAAAATTATTAATTTTAATTTGCCAATAGTCCTTTTTATTTATCATTTTAATTTGACTAAATAAAGTTCTGTTCTAAAAATAGTAACTGCTTTAATAACTTTTTGTACTGCATCTTTCCATTTCATGTGTGTTCATGTAATCCTTTTGCACTGAGAGAGCTCATATCCAATCACAGCTCAAAATTTAAACAAACGAATACCATAATTTAAAACAAAGCTCAAAATTTAAACAAAGGAATCTATAAATACCACTATTATTGTTTGCACAGCCCTTTTCCCCCACTTTGCTAGCTGCAATGTGTGCTTCCTTCTCTCCTTTATCCAGTGTTTCAAGATATGCAAGATACACAAAATTGTGAGGTGCATTTCACACCCAAAATGATGTCTGATTGAGAATATGTAAAGAAGAATTAAACATTGAGAAATAAGTTGTGTTTTGTTTTGCTAGTTTTTTTTTTTTTTTTTTTTTTTTTTTTTTTTTTTTTTTTTGTTTTGCATATATTATCTACACAGCTATATCATTCTATCTATACCCCATAAAGAATCATCAAGTATCTGAATCATCAGTGCATATATATGCACTGATGAGTTAAAACATTTGACCATTCTCACGTTTTTCAATGAACTCCTCTGGATGATGTAGAGGGCAAATGATTAAGTGGGAATGATATTTAACTGTTGCTGGAGAAGGTAAGGAATCATTCTTACACTTACTTTTGCAAGTGATGGGAAAGGCTTCTGATCTAAGCAAATTTGATAGAGGGCAGATAGTAATTGCCCCAAGACTCAGAACGAGCACCTTCAAAACTGCATGACTGGTAGGTTGTGCAACAATCTGCCATTCTTAGTATTTATACAAAGTGGATAAATGCCGGTAAAACCAGCAGTATACGCCAAGGTGTTGGACGTCCACGCAACATCAAAGAAAAAAGGATGTCAGAGATTATCCTGCTTAGTACAGCAAAATTGGCAACAAACAGTAGCTCAGCTACATGACAGCCCAATATAAGGCAGGTCCAAGTGTGTTTTGGAACACACAGTTCAGATTTGTCAGGGTATGCCATCTTCCAGGTGAACAGCTGCTCTCTTCTGTACAGCAGGTCATACACTGGCTGGTGATTGCATTATCGTGCTTTGAGGGATGTTCTCATGGGTAGCTTCAAGACCCGTACTTGTGATAGAACAAGCCATGAAAACTGCAGACTATTTGAACATAACTGCGGATCAGCTGCACCCTTACATGGTGTCGGTCTTTCCAACTGGAAATGGAATCTTCCAGCTGGAAAAGGAATCTTCCAGCTGGAAAACGTCCCATGTCACAAGGCTCATATTGGCTTGGAGTGGTTTGAGGAGCATAAGGATGAATTCCATTTAATGTCCTGTCCACCTAATTCGCTGGAGCTTCAACCGATAGAGCACATTTGGGATGTCACAGAGTGGCAGTTCAAAGCTCAAACACCACCATGTGGGAATATTTCAATTTTATGTGTTCCCTGCTAAGACATTTGGAACAACCTGTCTCCAGTCATCTATCAAGAACTTGTGGCATCCATACCAAGGGTATTTGCAGCTGTTTTGCAGGCCAAAGGTGGTGCAACACATTACTGAGTAAGTCGGCATAGTGTTTTGGCTCTTCAGTCTATATAAATACTCACTAGAACTTTTTTTAAAAATTGAAACAACAATCACCAAAGGTTACAGTGAGTATTTCAATGATATGCAATATTTCACATGACTATTTCAATAGCTGAACGTTTTCAAAGAGAAAAATAATTAGACTTTTGCCTCATCCACCTTATTCACTTGATTTTGCTCCATGTGACTTTTTCCCTCAAATTAAAAATTAGTTTTATTAATAAAATCTTCCACCTTAGAGAAATGGTGATTTATATGGGAAAAAATAAAGAAAAAAATATAAAAAGGGAAGGTGAGAGGAAAGAGTACTTACATATTATCTCATCGACTGGCCAAGTAGTGCAATTTAGAGCTAATTATGGATGAACAGGTACTTTAGAATTCAGCAGTAGCAATTGGTGACCCCTGCTAAGCTCCCCTCTGTTGCTGAAATCTCTGCCAACAATTGATGGGATAATATGTAAGTACCAAGGAATGTTTCAAATTGTGGTTTTCTGAAGCTAAGAACTTACACAGGTTTCAGTAAATGTGGCTGAAATAATTTTATTCAGGTTTTGTATTTAATAATATTTTCAACATCCCTAACATTATTTATAAAAGCATCAAATTAATTGACTTGGATTGTAAAGAGGTGAAAAAGAGATTTTGATTTTTTTAAAAAAAATATTATATTTGAAACATTTAGTTCCTTCAAGAAATGGAAGCAAATAAAAAGAACTTACTTTAATATCTCTATGAATAACATTTGCAGAATGTATATATGCAATAGCTGAAAGCAACTGATAAATGATAAAACCATGTTTCCATTCCTCTTTCAGTGTTCCCTTTTTTATCATCTGATGAAGATCAGTTTCTAAGGGAGGGAGGAATAATAATCCTTTTACTCAAAAATTAAATACAGATTTCATTAAACTATAACTAAACCATTTAATAAAACTATAAACAAACTACAATTTTAAGTTAAGAAAATTTCCATATTTACCCATAAAATCAAATATTAAATAAATATCTTTATTGTTTTTGGCCTTCACAACTTTTAAAAGTGATATAATATTAGGATGATTCTGGAATTCTTGCAAATACCATATTTCCCGGAATGTACGCTGAAATCAAGCATTTATAATATCAAATAAGACATTCAAATACAAAATAAATATGAGTATTTGTTTTAAATTTAGAATTACAGCAAAGAAAAAAATTAATATATACCTGAGCATCTGTCCTATTTCTAAATGCATCATAGATTTTCTTCACAGCAACAGTCTTCCTGTTGACTTTATCAACTGCTTTCCATACTATCCCATATGCCTTAAAAGTAAAAAAATTAAATACATCAAAAATGTTAATATTTAAAGTTTAGAACATATATTTGAAAATTTTCAATTAATTTAAATCAAGCATTATTAAAAATTAAAATACTGTGCACTTAAAAATGTGTAATTGAAAATTAAATAGAACTTAAAACTTAAACAAGATTTATTTACAAGATACAGCAGTTTTGAAATAGTAAACAAAAAAGTAAAAATACCTAACAAAAAATTATAATAAATAAACATTCTGAAGTAGTAGAAATAAGAAGATACAGAAGAACTGCCATATTTTTTTGCACCAGCACCTAGGTGGTAGGATAACAATATATCAAAGAAATCCCCAGCCTCATTGAAAGGAAAAAGTTAAATTGTACTATTACATGATAGTTTTCAAAATAACATGCAATAAGTATAAAAAGTAATTCAATAATTATAAATTACAAAACATTCTTTTACTTTTAAAACTTAATTTAACAAACTATTTCCTAAAATATTTATTTAAATAACATATCAAAAAAACAAATGTTAAAAGCATTTTTAACTATTAATATCAATACAAATATGAGAAAAAATATAATTTAAATAGCATTTGCCTCTTAAATATTAAATTTAAGTTTATATGTACATGCAAATGAATAAGGAGAGAACAATTTAAAAGCTTATAGAATTATAATACAGGTATTAAAAAAAAAAAAAAAAAAAAAAAAACTCTAAATATAGCACAATTTTTAGGAAGCTGGTTATGATAAGCACATTTATTATCAGAAATAAAATGGACAAATTTTTAATAATCTATGAGAAAAAGTAAGATATAATTTATTATAATATTTAAGCATGTTTTGTGTGAATCAATGATTCACTAAACAAATATTAAAATATCATACATTAATTATTACAATAAATATTATCAATTCTAAAATGTACAAATTTATTGAATTTCATATCACCTCAGAAGACTTTGTTTACACACACATAACAGATGATTTAAGATTAATCGATGCATTAAATTATACGACAAACATAATTAAAAGCCAGCCGACAATGCATCAGAAGAGTTAAGAACATAGAATGCAATTAAATTTAAACTGCTAATCAAAATTATACTTACACCTTTTCCGAGACGCTTAGAAACATCGTACATTTCGGCTACATACAGGTCAACGTCCCCCATACCGCCATCAGTTTCTGAGCAAAACTACATTACACTCAAAACAACACAAAAATTCACTCGGACTAAAAGCGATGGTGGCGACCTCTACCCACGGAAACCTGTAAAAGAAAAGATTAAAAAAAATGTTCTTTCAAAAATCCTGTATGAGGGTTTACGACCCGAGGTTTCTTGGAATGGCTGACTTAGTTAAAAAAAATAAAAACAAAGCTTTTTTCAAAAACCATATGATAACTCAAACTAGTTGTCTATAGGCTGCATGCGGCCCCCGAAGCAATTTTATGCTTCAGAAAAGACGTTTCAATTATGAATTGACGAACGTTTCATTTATGAAAGACGTTAAGTAAGCTCTTCCAAGCTCACTGGCAAAATTGCCGGAACATTCATAATGTTCTAATACGTAACCTAGCAAAGTCACTCCTGACAACGTCATATCAATGAGGAATATGCGTAATGCATTAATTGCAAATATAACGTCAAATAATGTTAAGTGTGATACCATTTTTTGCCCATTAACTGATAGATAATATGCTCGTCGTATCGCATAATATATATATATTACCAAATTATAGATCGTATCGAATAATAATTTACAATGTCATAAAAAAGTAAAATGTAATGTATAGCATAAATCATACGTGTACTGCAGAAATTTAGCTATAGCTGCCTTCTGAACACTTGTAGTGTATAAATGTTTACGCCCCAGCAGGTTAATCCTCACAAGCACATTCACACAATTGCCGGAGCAATTATAATGTTCCAATGCGCAGCTTTATGTAAAGTCATTCACAATGTAAACACAGATAGAACTTCTGTACAGTTTTATTTGTTAATGTATTACCCAGTAATGCCAAGTACAAAGTATAGTATACATGTAAATGTATAGCTCTCGTGAGGCTCCTCTCTAGCCAACTTTAGATAAGGGTGGACGTGGTGCTGTAATGATTAATCTTTACGGCAAAGGAACAGTGCCCAAGTCCACCGTCACTTATCACTTATCACTTATCAATTATGAATTAATTGATTCAAGTAATCAATTACGATTCAATTCAATTATGAATTGGTTTCAATTATGAATTGATTCAATTATGAATTCCAGAAAGACGTTTCAATTATGAATTGGTTGCAAAAACAACGTTACAAAGATGCAAAAATTTTAATTATTTGAAGTCCAAGTTTACATTATTTTCATTAATATTAAAAATTAATGTGAAAAATGCATCAAGAAAATCTGGAAGTAGAGCTAACTACTAATTTAAAATGTAATATAAATCTTCTTCAAAGATTTGGAGATACAGATTTTCGCAACTTTTACTCGTACTTATCAAAAAGTAAATCAGTTATGACTTTTTTCACTAAGAATAAATCTCTTTGTTCGTGAATCCATTCATGTGTGAACAGCTTTTCTTCACTGTTGAAAATTAATAAGGACAAAATCTGATTGACTGATGAGCATCTACAATTTACGATGAAGATAATTGCCAGTAATTATTCTTCTAAGCCACAAGCTTTATCAAAATCAAAACGCCATCGAGAGTCAAGGTGTAATAGAAGTTAATAATTATTTACATTCAAACACGTGTATTTTTATTTATGCGTCGAAGAAAAATTTAATAAATAATTGAAACAGTCTAAGTTGTTATTATTTATTTTCCGATTTTTGTCTTGCTCGGAAAATTTTCGCTGAAAAGTTACGAAAGTTTTTGTAACTTCTTTCAGGTTAAATTAAAGTAAGTTATTTTATGATTAATTAAACATGTTAGAACTGTTTTAAATAAACGTCAGTCGAAAAATTTCATATTAAACTGCCAAGTTATTTGAATTACAAAGTGTAATAAAAAAAAGGAATGTCTTGCAGCTACCAAATATTAGATTTCAGATAAATAAATATAAGCTCTTGAATTTTTCTCTTTATGATATTATTATGATTGTTTACGTATATTCTGAAAAATACTTAGTAGTCGAAATTTAAAATTTATTTAAAATATTTCTTTAATTTTGTTACAAAAGTTACTGGTTCGCCCATTGTTTTCAAATCTCACGTGCAGCCTACAGGCAGTTTGAGTTTTTGACACCACTGGCTTAGAAGATGCTAATATTTGAATTTCGTACTTTTCCTCGCGATATATTCATAAAAGACGATTTAGGATCTGCAAATTTCATGTGCACATACTTCATTTAAAGCGAATATTATAAACAAGCAAGTTTTAGAATTTAAAGCTATACATATTGGCTTGAGGCTAAAATTGCGAATCAGGGCTTAATTTATAAAATCAGAAGAATTGGAGCCTTGTGGAAAGCCATCCGGAGAGACAAATAAAAGCAAGTAAATAAAAAAGTAAAATAATTAAAAATTAAAAAATAAATTAGTAATTAAAGTAATAAAATAATTAGAAATTTAAATTTTGTAAAATGTAAAGAGAGAAATAATAATTTAATAAATTAAATTAATGATAAATTTTTAATAAATAAAATAAAATACTAGACTTCGTCTTATTTGTGGCTCCGGCTAAAATTGCACTTTCACTCAGCTAAGAAATAGATAAATCGCTCTTCGGCTGAATATAAACATTGAATACTCAATATAGTGCACAATTTTAATAGATGATAGATAGAAAGATCATTCTTTTTCCTGTACACCAATGAAAAAGAGTGACATAATTAAAGCATCACTAATGAAAATAGAGAGAATACTGGAAAAAGTTTTAACGTACGATGTGAAGGTACGAAAACAAAGAGAGAAGAGTCCTACTCTTTCTGTTCACGTTTCCCTACAGATATACACTGAAGTCAAAGAATCTCTAAGAGAAGAATCAAAGAATCCTTAGAGATTCTTTGAAGTGCCTCTGAATTAGGGCTAGACATGGTTACGCAAATTTTGTAGCGCTGCGCAGCATTTATGCTACGTGAGGGCGTTATGGTTACTCCACATATAGATAGTAATGTATTTGTTATTAATCAGTTGTTTCAGTTGTCAGTATGGGTAAAACTTCTGCTTTAAACACTTTCGATCATCTCACGGCAGATAGCAGGGCCTCGACACATGGACCATTCAATTTCCGAAATCGTCAGAGGGCTAGGATTTTCAAGGTCGACTGTGTTAAGAGTGCACTAAGAATGTACGGATAGTCGAGGAGGGGGAAACTAGCGATCGAGCAAATTGCAAAGCATAATTAGTCTTGAACAAGTGTGGTGTGAGATGGTTCAGTCGTATTGTATACAGGCAGCAAAACCAAATATAAGCTCAAATTCCCACCCACTTGAATCAGGGCGTCAGTCGTAAATGGATCGGGCAAAGCTCACTTCACTATATGGGTTTCGGGAGCCGTTAGCTCACGACAGTACCATTGCTCTGTGCCTGCCATTGAGCTGCAGTCTTACCTGGGCAAGAGAACGCAGAGAATGAAGCAGGGTTTCTTAAACTGTGGGTCGCCACTCCCCAAGGAGGTCGGGGAACCTGCAGCAGAAGTCGCCGAAAATTTTAGAAGTTTTGATATTTCTTTAACTTATTACAATAATTTTACAGTTACCAAATATTTTTACACAATGTATCTGAAAATATATAAAGATAAGACAATACAGTTAAAGAAAAAAAACGAAAACGTTCTGACGCATTCTTTTTATAATATAAACGTTAATTTTCCTTGCTTTGCACATGACGCTGTCATTCCGTCTGTTACTTATTTAAAATTTTCATTTTGTTCTATGTCTTAAAATTAAAGTTAATGACCTAAAACTGCTATAGTATATTACAGTACAAGTGAAAAAATTGACAGTCTCACTCACGTGTGTGTCGTATTTGCGCAATACTTAAAGGGGGGTCCCACAACATTTTTGTAAATATTATGGGGTCCTGGGGATCGCGAAAAAATCTCAGTGATAAAAAAAGGAAAAAAGTTTAAGAAACCCTGCTCTAGAGCATGAAGTGATGCGTCTCGATTCCGACTACTTAACACCGACGGGAGGCTGAAAATATGGCATCAGGCTCATGACGCCATGGATCCTGCATGCCAGGTTGCAACTGTGCAAAGCCATGGCAGCTGAATCATGGTCTGGCGTGTTTTCTCCTGGCAGTGAGTGGGATTTTTGGTACTTGCATCAACCGCCTTCAATACGATTCGGTAGGTAGAGTTGCTGGAAGATCATCCATTTATGTTGTCCTGTCATTCCCACGGAAATGGAGTATTCCAGCAAGATAACTACATTTCTCACAGGTTCCGTTTGGCTATTGTCTGGTTGGATGAGCATTTCTCTGACTTTTCTGTCATGGATTGGCTACTTAGAAGCCCCGACGTAAATCATACTGAGCACCTTTCGGATGTTTTGGAAAAAGGTTTGAAACCACATCACACAACACCATCGCCCCCTCCTGAATTATGGACAGCTTTTTTGATATTTGGCAAGCTATTTCCGTAGAATGCTTCCGCAAACAAAATATGCCTCGTCGTGTGGCAACAATTATCAAGCCCGTAGGAGGCTCAACTCGTTACTGACTTGCTTTCCCTAATTCACTGGCTCATCAGAGTAATTCTAATGTAAATCAAGCTGACATAGGAAAACATTTCCCTCAGATCCGAGAATTGATTCATCAGCTGAGAACAAATGCAAGGTTCTGTACAAGTGACCACTTTCATCCCGTTCATATTTGGTTAATAGTTCCGAAATGTCTGCAGGTGATTTTTTTTGGAGTGAAGTGACAAGCATTGAATATATGTGAGCTAATTATCTTTGAATTTCCCTGTGTTAAACCGTTATAACATGGAGCACATTTAGGAGCATAAAGCGGCCAGGGTAATGAGTTCTAGTATTCCCATTTTTACCCATTTTTTACCCATTTTTAAATACGCTCTCATGAATTTATTGGTTAATTTATTGGTATTATTACAATTAACCTTCCTGGAGAATAAGGTTAGAGGGCAAGCATTTCTTTCCTTAAAAATCCCAAAGAATTTGTTTTCAGGGACGGACAAGCAGGCATTCAGAAGTGAGAATCGACTTTTGAGAATTATTTACTACCAAAAATAAAATTTTATGAGCTCAAAAAAATTTTTTTTCTGAAATTGTGGATTTG